CCACACATGCACAGGAGCCCGTGACAGGTTTAACTCCCTCGACAAGCCTTTCCAGGAGAGCAGGGTGGGCTCCCAGGCTGCTCTGAGAACGGCCTGGGAGAGCTGGGAAGGGACACTGGTTGGGGTTTGTGTGGTGGCTATTGGAGTACTGGGGTGGGGATCCCCAGGTATGTTTTGAGCATCCACTGTCGTCAAAGGAGCGAGCCCCAGGTGTGGGGCAGTGGTCAGCAGTCAACAGTCCACAAAAGGACTCAGGCCCTTGACAACACCTTTTAACCCTCAGGACCAAATCCACTGCCGTTAAGTCGATTCCGACCCCTGGTGACCCCGTGTGTTTCTGAGTAGAACCATGATGCCTTTGCCGTCATCTTTATGTGAGCAGATTGCCAGGTCTTTCTTCCAAGGCACCACAGAACAGGTTCAAGCTGCCAACTATTGGTCAGTGCTCAATGTAAACTGTTTGTGCCACCCGCTAAGAGGTGGCCAATAAATGCTAATGTCCCTGCGTGGCTCCAAATGTTAAGTCTTGGCTACTAACCAAGAGGTTGGTGGTTCATGTCCCCTCAGAGATGCCTGGAAAGAGAGACCTGGGACCCACTTCTGAGAAATCAGCCCTGTGGTCCACAGTTCTACTCTGCCATATGAGGTCACCAGGCCTTGAAATCGACTTGGACACATTTAAAAAAATACATGTTAGCCATTGTTCTTTCTCCCCAGGCAGCTGCCTGACCTTTCTTGTTCCAAGAGGGCACTCGCCAGACTCCACGCCTGCAGGACACCCCACAGTCAGGCCTCTGGCCGGGCTGCCCTGCTCCGCATGCTATGTCTGCCACACTGCGTGGACAGCTCTCCATCACCCAGTGTGCCCGGATCGATATTCCCTGTGTCTGCTTGCGGGAATGTCACAATCCCATGGTAGGAAGCAAGATTTATTTCCTAATTAAAAGAGAACTTCCTTCACAGGAAATCAGTCACTTGTACTCACGCGTACACTCAGACAACAGCCGTTGCTGCTGACATGACTGTCTGATTCTTCTGGGAACCAAGCTGCCTCTTCGGTGCCTGGAGCTCCAAGTCTGGGAGGTTCCTCAGCGTGATGCAATTTGGCATCGGGCGCCTGGTTCACCTTGGAAATGTTGGGGTATTTTACAGTGTCTGGAGATGTTTATGGTCCCATTTGGACACCCACCAAACCCAAACCAAACGCACTGCTGTCGAGTTGTGCCGTTTGTGCGGGGGTCCGTCACAAAGCCCTGCTGCCTTGCCCCTGCCGCCCCTGGACTCCCGAGTGACTACTCAGCATCATGCAGTTGGGGCCACCCTTGCACTCATCGCATGGTATAAACGTCCAGTCAACAGTGCGAGTTGAGAATCACAGTGGACAGTCTGGAGGGTGCAATTACTGTGCACAGTTTCAAGCTGACATATAATCTATGAAAACCAACCTGCTTGTGGGTTTATTTTCGGAGCACTGGAGAGACCTGGTCTTCTCTGGTAGCCTTTCCCTGCCATACTCTCGTGGGCAGGCAGACACCAGAGGGTGACGCTCAGATTCCTTGGTGATCAAGAACTCGAACAAAAAGCAAAAGCTGGCCTTGCTCGGAAGTTCATCTCCAAGCCCCGGGTGCTGGTGCGTGCTGCCTCCAGTGTGGCTGTCAGATGGGACCCCCAGCCTGACCGGAGGCCAAGAGCTCGTTCTGGCCATGCTCAGTCGTGGGGGGCACCCCTGACTACAAGGGACGTGCTGGGCCTGCAGCTGTGATTGAAACACCAAAACACTGCATCTGAAAGGGCCGGGTCTGGCCAAGCAGCCAGTTGTTTAGTCTACACGGGGCCAGACATCTGCGTGATGGGGAACAGCTTTGGACTTGAGCGGACCGCGTGGCCCGGTCTCAGCCGACTCAGGCCCACAGAGCCCTGACTGAGGAGATTTCTGAGCAGGGAGAGGAGGAGAGGAGGTGATTGTGTCCAACGGGCTCCTCTTCATTTTCTCAGAACCTAAGGAGCCACAGAGGAGCCCTTGTGGTGCAGTGAGTGGCTGGCTACACGCTCGGGTGTTAGCTGAAGGGCCGGTGGTTCGAACCCACTCAGTAGCTCCATGGGAGAGACTGGTGATGTGCTCTCATAAAGACTACCCACTATTGTCTGGTCGGTTCTGACCCCACAGGGCAGGGTAGGACCGGCCCAGGAGGTTTCCAAGGCGGTCATCTTTGCAGGAGCTCATCTCACCTGGGGAGCAGTTGGTGGGTGTGAATCACTGACCTTTTGGTTGTTGTTGTTGTTGTTGTGTGCCGTCGAGTCAGCCCTGACTCATAGCGACCCCTCCTTGGGTTTCCGAGGCAGCATCACTATGGAAGTAGGATTGCCCAACCTTCCTTCCGAGGAGTGGCTGGTGGGTTTGA